TGTGGAAGCGCACGGGACGGTGGGAGGAAGGCAGAAGATGGTCCTGCAAGTACCCCGGGCCTAAACCATGTAGGGCTTTATAGGTAAGCACCAGCACCTTGAAACGGACCCGGAGAGCAACCGGCAGCCAGTGCAGCTCGCGCAGGAGAGGTGTTGCACGGGAGTAATGAGGAACTCCCGTAGCTACCCGCGCGGCCATATTCTGGACCAGCTGGAGCCTCCGGATGCTTCCCAAGGGCAGCCCCATGTAGAGGGCATTGCAGTAATCCAACCGAGAAGTAACAAGGGCATGGGTGACCGTGGCGAGGGCATCTCGGTCTAGGAAAGGGCACAACTGGCACACAAGACGTACTTGTGTGAAGGCCCCCCTGGTTACGGCTGTCAGATGGTCATCCATGGACAGCCAAGAATCCAGGAGGACACTCAGATTGCAAACCCTAGCAGAGGGGGTAAGAGTCTCCCCTCCTATTACTAAAGATGGTACCTCTAGATCCCGAGATGCTGGCATCCACAGCCACTCAGTCTTGGATGGGTTGAGTCTGAGTCTATTCCTACCCATCCAAGCCTGCACCACCTCCAAGCAATGGGACATCACCTAAAGGGCATCCCTAGGGTGATCCGGGGTGGAGATATAAAGCTGGGTATCATCCGCATATTGGTGATACCTCACCCCAAAACCACGAATGATCTCATTCTTTGTTTTAAGTTGAGAGCCATTTAGTAAAATTATTAGAGAGGATGATATTATTAAACTATATTAAATAACATCTATTATATGCAGGTGGCTAAATGAAGACATAGTATTTTATGACACCATGTAAAATTGCAGGTTATAAATTAAACAGAGCCAAGATGAAATTAATGGAAATATTTAACACTGTGACAATAAAAAAATAAACAAATTGAATAACTTGAAATGATCAGGCAAGCCTGAAATGTTCAGAACTACAAACTCTAAATTAAACACAATTATAGGGGAAAATACACACACACACACACACAAACACACACAATTTGAACAATGCTTGACTTCACAGTGTTGCTTGATTAAAAATGATATAACCATAAAAATTTCCCAGGTGAGATATCTTTAAAGACCTGGCACTCTGGCAAAATTAATTAACTTATTTTGTATTATCAGATAATAAATTGTGGTAGAATCTGCAATACAGGAAAGACTAAAACCTAAAAGACTCATGTTAGATGCAAATATTATACAATATGATTTGTAATGAGATAATGGTAGTAATAAGGGAGATCACTTAAAACCAAGAACATGCAGTTCTTTTCAGCCAAGAATTTCATTTCCAGGAATCACATTCTAACAAATGGACAGAGCCAGAAAAGATAGTACATTACCAAGAAAGGAGAATATGTATAGCTCAGAGCTGAAATGGAGGGTCCATTTCTTGGTGGTTTTCTTGCAGACTTTTCATTACCCAAACTAGGTAACATCATCAGTGTCGGAGCGTGAATCAGCCTCGTTCCCCCCCTGGGGAAACTGTAATTAATTAGAGGTGAATGGATCTTGTTTTCCATGCTGTATACTTTCAAAGAAAGAAAACCCGAATATATTCTAAGAAACATTTTATTATAAAAAAATAAAACAAACTAGCTAACTACATCGTTACCGGACAAAGGAAAAAGATCAGGAAATTTCTTCCTTAAGCTTGGACATGCGCAGTAGCTCAGAAATCACAAGACAGTCTTATCTCTGTTACTACAGAGACGTGATAAAGTTCTCGGCCAGGCTACCGTAAGTCTTAGGATGGAAGCTCAGCTGGCAAACACTTAATGCAGTGACAATCAGTATTAATCACTGCTAGACTAACACTGATAATGTTACCTAGCTTAGGTAATGAAACATTTGCAAGAAAACCACCAAGCTCAGAGAAGACCAAGGACTCCTCAGACAGTACATTTGATAAGAAAGACACTTAAATAAATTACTTTTGAAGCAACTGCTTTCATGTTAAGAATTAAATTGGTGACAACTTTTGGAGAAACTCTTCTAAGGTTTGGGCTGGGGAAGTGGCAAACTCATCTTAAGATACTAAATTGCGTGTCCTCAAGTTTAATAAATATTGGAATGAATAGTTGTAAACAGCAACCATCAAAATTGTCTTGAGCTATCAAGAAAAACATAATAATATTAAGATTAAAAGTAATGGATTATGTAAACATACTTTTCATAGGCTTTTGTGAATAAGTTTTGATTGATAGTGTGCACAGGTTTTGATAGGCAGAGAGATATTGCTAGTTACCTCTTTAAACAAGGGTATGTGAAAAAAGTGATTTTGTATGATGGACAAACTGCAGTGGTTCCGGTTTATCCAGATGGCAGATTATAAGTACCATGTATAATGTTATAATCACTCCTTCAAGTAGTGACTTTAATTTTAGTATTAAATATATTTTTTAAAGAATGAACTTTGGAAGTAAAAATGTTTAAATGTCTGTTATCAAACATGCTGTCTGTTTTGCCAAAACAGATTACTTTAGTATATTAATGGAAATTGATATTTACAAGTGTAATATCAAACTCTACTTGGGTTACTTTTATAAAAGAATTACTAAATCCACGATTAACGTAGTGTGTAAAATGTTACTTATGTAGTCATATTTCCATAAATCACTAAAGATTGGTTAAATAGGCTTTTTATCTAAAATTCATGTTATTTTTTCAGTCTGATGCACGTAAAACAGATCTATCAATGAAAACTAATTTTGATGGCAGCAAAACTAATCACAAGAAAAATGCTACTAATTATATGTATGGATTAGTAAATTGGAGCAAGCAATACAATTACAGTAAATCAGGCAGATTTGCACTAGTCCAAGATTTTTGAGCAAATAGAATCTGTATATTGAATACTGTACTGATTATTCAAGGACACTAATGCCTAATAATGTTTCCCTATTCCTCAATTAACTATTTTCACAGAATTTTAATTTAATGTTAAGATGCATTTTCATTTCATTATTATATACGAATTGATAAATTGGTTTTTTATATTATTTTGTATACTGAAATGATTAGTATCATTTTCTTTTCCTTATTACAGTTTTACTATTGTTAACTCAGTGGTTTTATTTCAATCATAACTAAAAAAACCCTCCAAAGATTATACATATAGACCGACACACTCATAAAATATAAATTAAATATGTACAAGGGACATAATTGGAGAATTAATTAACAGCCATATATACTAATAGACAGCAATTTTGTTGCCTTGTTTATTTAGAGGTTGCATCTTAGCTGGAAGGCACTGAGGTCACGGCCCATCTCTGGAATTGATGGGATTCTTACTGTGAAAGAAAAGTAATAGATTCAAATTGCCGAAATCCATCATGTTTTTTACCCAAACTTTGTTATCCAAGTATGATGAGATAACAACTTATCTCTTTGTTTCTCCCTGTCTTCAATCACAATATCTATTTTGATGAAAAACGGAATTCCTCAATAGTTTTGTTTCTAATTCCTAATTCTTTTGGTATGTTGCAGGTAACTGCACATCTTTGTAAAGTAAGAAAGCTACAGATAGTTTATACCCATCATAATTCCTTTGTTAAAGTATCATATTCATGGGCTTATAGCTCATTCAAATCACAGCCAATTTTCGCAGGAACACTCAAAGCCACTTCTTGACAATGAGAGAGGTTTTTCTACTAAATTTCAAAGTTCAGCCCTACCTATTTCCTAGCTTGGCACTGTTCCAGGAAAAGGAGTTGCAATGATAATATTTAAAGTTCATTTTCCCATACTTTACTTATATTCAAACATGATATGGACCTTTGTTGCAAACTCTTACCAGAAATAATCAATTCCACTATAACTCAAAATCTAGAAAATTTGAGCTGCAAAAATGAATGTTTCTGGAAATGATAGGTATCTAAAATTGGGATGCTGGATTGGAAATGCTAATATGGGAATATCTGCTGCTTACACTGCTTCCAGGAGCAGGTTGAAATATTAAAATGGGATGGCAATTCTAAAAGCAGGGAGTAATATAGTCAGCAATGCACAGTGGAAAATCATGTGGATTGTGGGAAAAATAAAATTATTTTGCCTAAACTGCTAAGAAAAAGATGATTGTATGGGAAAATGCAGATGTGGTTAAAATAAAATATAGGAGAACCATATGGTTTTCCTGTATTTATATAGCACTCTCAACAAACGTACACACAGGGTTTTAGAACATCAGATGAGCAAAAAGGCAGGGCCTGATACCAAGTAATTGCGTTTCTCTTATGCCTGACAGTGGACTGGGAATGCAAAAGAGGATTATGTGGACAGAATGCACTTAAACCATGTGAACAAGGACAAAATGGAGTATTTCTTAGGGCTCCGACTATTGTATAGCAAAGGATTCACTTTCCTAAGAGTGGTGCCTATCTTGTTCTGTATGGGAGCTTCCAAGAAGTCTGGATGCAGCATGACACAATATGCCATTTGCACTATCCATTTCTTCCACTTCAGGTCAGAGTTATAGCTGGAGCAGGATGCAATGGCAGTGTTCCCTCAAAAGATCTTGAAGCAATGGAATAGTGCTTGAAATTTCAAATCTTCCCTGCAGCTAAAAAGCTAATACTTTACGTTGAGAGGAGAAGTTTCAAAATAGGTAGTTGTTTACTTGAGACAACAACTTTATTTAAAGAAGCATTCACGTATGCAGCCATAAAAAGTGGTAGAATATATTTGATTGTACTTTCCTGACCTTCTGCTGCATATATACAGTAAATCTGATCAAAGGAAGCTTGGAGAGGCGACCTTGCCTGTTAGTGGTATTTTGGAAGGGGATGATTGGGGGGTCTTAGAGAGGTCCAAATGTTTCCTGGAAGAATGCATTGATACTAAGCCACTCAATAGAAATAGAGTGTGTGTGGGTTTTGTTGTTTTGTTGTTTTTTTTAAAAAAAGCTTTAGCCATGTTTATTTAATATGCAGACTGCATTAGGCACTTAATTCAGCACAAATTTGAAATTGTGATCTTTCAGGTTGGCATGACTACAGAAGAAATAGATTATTTGGTTCACCATGAAATAATCAAGCACAATGGTTACCCGTCACCTCTAGGATTTAAAGGTTTTCCAAAATCTGTGTGTACTTCAGTAAACAACGTGGTAAGCCATGGAATTCCTGACAGGTACTCATGTTTTTGTTATTGCAAATTAAGATTATGTGGCTATCCATGTCATTTTTCCATGTTACCCTCTCATAACATACTATCCATTCAGCCTACTTAATATGCCACATTACAGATCTTTACATATTCCATGTGGTTTGCACGGAAGTTCTCCGTTAACCCAAATGAATCGAGATGAATACAGCAGCCAGGCTCGGTTACTATATTTTATCAAAAAAAAGTGCCACCGGTTGCTGTGCAGTAAGAAAATGATGTTGGCACTTATCAAAGGGGGATAATAATAATAAAAGCAAAGATTATTGCTTCGCCATCTCTTTTCCCAGCATGATATAGTACCTCAGTCTGGGATATATCATCAAAAACAGAAAAGTCACTCAACAGAAAAATTATACTAATTTTCTGGAAATCTAAAGGTGGAGTGTGTGTGTTAATTATACATGAATATGTTGCTAATTATTAATGAATATTACCTGTTCAGAAAATAAGAGGTGCCAAATGTCACTCTTTCCATGATGATAAGATAATCATAATGGTGATTTTTGTTCCTTTGCTGTATATTATGGATTCTTTCTTTTATTTAAATTATTGTTTGGTGTTAACTTGAACTGGTAGAAATCTCAATATTAAAAGTAGTTATCCCCTTTGCCTCCTTCCATTCTACTTGACAATTATATTGATGCTTTTCATGTGGCTTTGGGGTAAATGGGATAAAGTGTATTTGTTTTGTTACTCTGTCTTAACTAAGATTTGCCTGTCACCATTAAATGTATCTTTTTTTTCCCTTTCCTTTCTGATTATGCTTAAGCCGCCCTCTCCAGGATGGCGATATTATTAACATTGATGTCACAGTAAGTAATTTGTTTATTATTATTATTGCTTTGGATCGATTTTCAAAATTTATAATCATGGTAGGAAGAACACTAAACCACAAATGTACAAAGGTTTTATTCCAAAGCTAAGGCAAGAGCTCTTGTACTGTTATTGTTGTTTTCTCCTCTCTGTGCTTATTCTGACTAGACCTAGGCTTGACTTGAATTTAGGGCTGGAATCAGATTCACTGAGATCAGTGTTGGCCTAAGTGAAATGTCAGCCCAATCCTGCTATGTGTCATGTTTTTGAGAAGATGTAATTGTTATTGATCCACCGTGTAGTTAATGCAGAGCGCCCCAGTACTGGGGCAGCAGCTGAAGGCAGATATGTATGAGATGAGCTAACATGAAGAAAGCCGGCATTTTTCCTTCACTCTGCCAAGATTGATCTTCCTCTTCCTGCTGATTTTGAGTGGGGCCTGTCATTATCTTACTCTGTCATTAGAGGCTACATTGGCCTGTGTGTCAGTCTATTTGGACAGCAACCCTTTGGCTGGCTGTGTTCCCTACATTTATTAAAATCCTCAAAGGTAGCGTTGTGTTCTGTTTGTGGCGTAAGAGCCTTGAACTCTTTACTCATGGATGCACAACCTGATCCACAGCTCACTTAATCCAAAGTACTCAGGTATCCCCGTGGGACTGATTCCGTTTCAACCCAGTTCCTTGACTTAGCTGGTTTATAGAACCCACTAGGGGCATAAGGTACATGTGTAGACTTAAAACATGGCAAAATCAAACATTTGCTATGATGAGTATTCATTATAAAATGTATTGATATATGAGCAAAGAAAACATGAGGAGTTTATGTCCTTTATTTGCATATCTTTAGAAAAAAGTAAATATTTCAAAAAGTGTTATTAACATATTTTTCTACAATTCCTGAAATTTTGAATATATTTTCCCCAGAATGTTGAAGATTGAAATCCTATGTGAATTGAACTTATAAATGTTGAAACAACAAATGCTTCCTTGATTTTAATAATGGCTTTAGTTTTATTACATCTTACAGTACCAGTTTTTTCAGCTGTCTTTTTTTTTAAATCATAATTATTGCTTTCTCAGTATTTGCTTCTTTTTCTACAGTCAGCTAATGAATATTGATCTAAAATGCCCATTGTCTGTGTGTGTGTGTGTGTGTGTGTGTGTAACTTATGAATTGTAGCCATACTTTTGATTATGTTTTAGATAAGACAGTTAGATTATTATATTATAGTAAGTATTAATTTGTGGTTGGGTGCAAAATTCTGTGTTCTGATCCCCAGAATATTTTATTATTTTTTCTCTCCAAAGAAGCTGATTCAGCCATTCTGGTTCTTCAATAGTGTATCTTCCAGGAAGTGTTTCCTGGTTTTCTATTTGGAACCCATCCTGTTTTATTCAAAATATCAGAAACCCCTTTTTCTGGAAGATTTCTTTTCAGAAAATTATAGCCACCACCAAAATAGCCAGATTGACCAATACAGGGAGAAAAACAATGTGTTCTGGGGAATGCCAGTATGTTATATAACCAGAATGTGGATTTTTACGCCTTTTTGTGTCTCTGGTTTATTGATTAAGCATGCTTACCATAATCCATACAACACTAAAACTTTTAATATAAGCTATTTAAGTGCAAGTATTCAAAATGTATATATATATATAAACCTTAATCTCAAGAGTTTATATGGTGACCTGATAAATGAGAACGGGGGGGGGGGAGAGCTAAAATCAGCCCCCACCAAAATATACGTTCCCAGAAAACTAAATTCTCAGTTCAGCCATAACACATTTAGAAGGCCAAGGTACTGGGAAAGCAAAACAAGATATATAAAAACCATGTACATCAAATACTGCCTCTTGAGCAGGGGGTTGGACTAAATGACCTCCAAGGTCCCTTCCAACTCTGCTACTGTTACCTTTGTTTTCTCAGAACCCTCATTGTCTTTGTAGTCCTGCCCCATCACCTCATGGTATTCCCTTATTGCCTGCCTCACCCAATCATGACCACCTACACTGTGCATACACATTCGACGGATCCAAATCTTACTTTATGAAAAATGCTTTTCTACATATTTATGTGAAATGTGTCCTTTTCCCAGGAATACCTAAGTTTTCCAGATGCCTTTGATGGGATAATGTTAAGGGTATACTACTATCATGTATTAGGGCACTGAGTTGGGAATTTCATAAACAGTGGCATAGGCAACCTGATGCTCTCCAGATGTTTTGAGTCCTATAAATTCTGATCATTCATCATGCTGACTATATCTTGTGGGAACTATAATCCAAAACACCTTCAGGATATCAGACGGTATGCATTAGGGCAATGCATATGGCCTTTTTTAGACTTCAGCTTTCAAAATTTGGAGAGAGGCATACATGGTCCTGGGGCCTCCAGCTGTGCATTGCTGCTCCAGGTGTTTGTTGTTCATTTATTTATACATCCAGTGGCTTGCACATTCTCCCATGGGTTTGTTGCCTAAGGATTTTCCCTTTAAAACTTGAACACTCTATACTCAGACATTTCCTGTAGCTGTCATAGTGCACATAGTGGATCACTACAGCTGTTTGCATGATGAAAGCTACAGGAACTGGCTAAAAATAGAAAGTTCAGCATCTCTCCGGATCTGGCAAGGTAATCAGTTCTGCTTCCTACCTGTGATTACTGCTTCCTGTGTATGTTCACTGTTTCTTGGTTTTCTTTGAATTAGGTATAATTTCAATGGCAGTTATGTCCCAAAGATGCTTTTTCAAAAGGTAACTGGACTTTCTTGGTTTTTTTCCTTGAAAATGTTTCACTTCTCATCCAACAAGCTTTCTTCAGTTCTGACTGAGTCAGAACTGAAGAAGCTTCTTAGATGAGAAGCAAAACATTTTCAAGGAAAAAAATCAAGGAAGTTCAGTTGCCTTTTGAAAAACACCTTTGGGGCAACCATACATAATACCACCTATGCTTGCAATGGAAACTAAAATCTTCTGGATTGATTGCTCATGCCAGTTTCTCCCTGCTTAGGGATCACCCATTATTTCTCTAGCAATAAGATGTGAATTCTATTGAATGCAGTGACACTTACTTTTGAGTAAACATATTTTGAAACTGAGAGCAAGAGTCAAATCACACAGTGCATTCAGCATATGAATGCTGCTCTCTTAATGTTTTCGTTTCACCCAGATGAAGACCACAGCATGCAGTGAGTGGAAGCTTAATCCCTTTCCATATGTTACTATTTCCCTCTGTTTAAAAAAAAAAACAACCCGCTATGCTCAGATATGCTGCAGCTGAATAAGAAAATAATTAAAAAAACCTTTAACTTGCACTTCAGCCCACATTTACTTGCTTCGTTCTCAATCATTTAAATTCTAGTTAAAAGAACTTTTGATCATTTGAAAAAAAATCTTGTTAATAAATTTATTTTTGAAGTGACATGCATATTTACCTTTGTGTCCAATCTAACGATTTCTTAATTTTAATTTCAAGTATTTCCTTAGCAGAAAATCTTTGCTCTTACAGTAAAATGGGGGCACATTAAACATCCAAGGAAAACCACTTCTACAATTATTGTTTATCCTTTTTTATATAATGATAGAAAAGATTGCTGCTCTGTAATAATTTGTTGAATTTAATGAATTTGAGGAAGCATTATTTGATCTTTCCAAACGGCATAACTAGGCCAATTTATTGGTAGAAAAAACTATTATGGACCAAAAAAGGGACAATTACAGTACATGACATTTTAGAATAATTTGTTTGTGATTGTACACAAGATAAAATGATTAACTAATCAATCAAATGTAAATGCTCTTCTGTAACTGCAGATTTTTAAAGAATGAACTAAAGTTCACTTATTTTGGAAAAAATAGTGAGTACCTTGAAACATGTTTTATAAGCTTCAGTCACCTGAGCTTCATATGTTGTTTAAAGAATTAAAGAAACCAATTAGTTTACTTCAGTGGCTATCAACCCATCACAGCTCTTAACCAATAATGATCAGGCAGTTATTTTATAGGTTAATAGACAATCATAATTTAGCAAATGAAAACAATTATTATGATCCCATTTTATGTATATTTACTTGAGAATCTGTCTCTCTGCATATAAGGAGTATTTTAATGGAAGCTTGTATAGAATATCCCAGATTTTTGTATGGGCTTGTGTTTACTAGCTTTCATTAATGTAAAAAGAAACGTTTAAGAAAGCAAGAGGCAGCCAAAACATTGCTTCTCAGCTACACCTTATTGATCAGTTTTTTAATTGTATTCTTTAATTCCAGATGTAAAGCTTTATACTAAGATTCTCATCGATTGAGGAATCTATAAAATACTCTAACATAAAATCTTTCAGTTATTAAAAGTTCCACTTCCATAAAATCACAGTGACAAGAGGAATATTTTTATGTCTGAGAATGTTGTTTCCTGTTGCATGAAAATCCATGTCTAGATTTATGAAAGAAGACTATCAAATAACATTTTTTTAAAAAATCATCAAATGACAAGGAGTTATAAATGCTGTTTTAGATTTGAATAATCTAAGTAATCTAATAATCTAATCTAATAATCTAATAGCCCAAAGGTATTGAAAGCATAGCTATTCATACCGATAATGACTTAGCCTAGTTCTCAAATACAGTCTCTCTTAATTTTAATAGACCATTTGTAGGAGGAATTCCATTATTCCCAAATGTCTGTTAAATATGAAAGTACCATTGTGATAGTTTGTCATTTTGCTTAATTATACCAATGCACATATTACATAAATTACTATGAATATGGCAAAATTAAAAACAAATGTAACTGCCTCACCCAAATTATTTCTGATGCAGCAGAATTATTCTTTATTTGGGGAAAAGGTTTGGATGCAAATTTGGTCTGTTGCATCCAAAGTCTGCTGTGGGAGTCCATTAAATGGAGGCTTGACTACATTAGAATAAATAAGTGCCCTCTGCTGTTCTGCATAATGATTTGCTTTTTATTTATTTTGCACATGTGCTAATGCAAATGACAAGTGTAGTTCATGATAGATTTTTAAAGAAAACTTATAACCTGTTCCATAGGCCATAAGTACTGCCTGCTGTATCTTTTAACATCATCTTGAAAGCCATGCCTGCTGTTGTCTATCCTTTACTGGCTTACTTTATATTTTCTATCACAAGCAGATCTAATCTGACATAACAGATAATAGGAGCATATTCACGCAAGAATCAAGAGATTACAATGTGTGTGAATTCAGTCACTTGTCAGTAAATGAGGAAAGAATATCAAATGAGAAGTAAGGGAGACATACAGATGTCTTGCCTTACACTGATGACCAGCTGTGGCTAAAACAGTGGATGAGGTTTCCCAATCCCTAACTTTGCGCTTCCTTCTTACTGGAGAATTTGTCCATTGTCAAATGTTTCTGCCTTGATAAATTTTATTTTTCACTGTGAGATCCTACGGACATCAATGGAACCTGCATGACCTAATTGTACAGAACTGCAGCCTTAATTTGAAATTATTGTTTTTGTGGTTTGCATCTGGGAAAGAAACCTATGCCTCCAATGTTTTTGTGATGCTGTCTTCAGAGCTGCTTGTATGATAGAGAAAATTTATTTTTCTTTCTCTTCCTTTTTCAAAAGTCTATTCCCTGTTTGATTTGGGAGTTTTGGTTTTGCACGTTACGCTGAACTGCCCCTGAAATACACCCAAAGTGTACCCTAATTAAGCTTCCATCCAAGAGTTCCTGTAAAAGTGTTTCTTTTTACATTTCTGCATCTGTTTAGGTGTATCTCAACGGCTACCATGGTGATACATCCGAAACGCTGCTAGTAGGGAATGTGGATAAGGCTGGTCAAAAGTTAGTGGAGATTGCCAAGAAATGCAGAGATGAAGGAATTGCAGTTTGCAGACCTGGGGCTCCTTTCTCTGTAATTGGAAACACAATCAGGTAAGCCTTATGCTGAGGAGTAATGGGAAAGCTGCCCAAATAGGACAAAGGCTATTGGTGACTTGGTTTAAAGCTGATGGCAAGTTTTATGATTCAGAATCATCGTTTCAGTCTGATATCACCATGTGAACCCCGTTGTTCCCCCAAGGTGGTTAGAAAAGATTTTAAATGGTGAATTATGCAAGACCAGGTCAGGAAAACTATCTGTTAAAAAAAAAAAAAGTAAAAAATGTTTCTAAAACTGCATTCACCCTTTCCCCAATATAATCACTAGCAATTTGGACTGCATTAATACAATATGGCTGTATTAAGATTTATGTAAATTCATCTGTTTTTTTGCATGATAACAAATAGTGCCAAGTAAGGTGTTTGTTAATGTGATGAAGGACTTGAACATTTCTCCTTTATCCCAAAAACGCATAAGTGTAAAAAAGAATGATGACTCCTTTGGGACGGTTCTCTTCTAATCTTGGTAAAACCTAATAACATTATATTGGCCTATCGTGTTCAACATGATTAAAATATATAAACAAGGTTTTTCATAATTTCTGCACGGGTCATTTTTGTAAGAGTCCATCTTGTTTTTTTCCTGTGTTTATTAACACCATTAGGAGAGGCAGATGTATCTTAAGGCTATAATACATGCATTGCTAAGCATCCTGAGACTATGCTATTTTTATACTTTCCCCCCCTCCCCCAAATGCTTTACAAAAAATAAGAAAAGAGAGCAGCAAAATATCAGTTTGATGTATTTATAGCTTTAAAAATATTGTAACAGAGTCTGAATCAAACTTTAGTAAAACCACTTTGGGTTATATCCGAGAAGCTTTTATTGAAGACTTTGTATAAAATTGTGTTTTTGACAGTTTTAAATTATAGGCTAACTAGCCTGGGGAAAAAGGATAGTGTCTTTTCTGTTCTTTCATAGGAAATGTTGAATCAGACCCCTACTGGGAAAAGAAATTTAATGCATATCTCACTATCTTACTGTCCATGAATATAATAGAAGCGAATTCAAAATGTAGTTTTATTTTTGCAAATGGGATGAGTCGATGGATGCACCTCCATATTTTTGAACACCTAGAGTTCAACAAATTTACTGGTGGTGCGCTTGCATTTTAACAAAATTTATGCTCGAGTCGAAGGGGGCAGAGAAGACAAGATTCTTATTCAAGCGTTCTCTCGAGCACGGCATTCATGGCAGTGTCTAAAGGGCATGTCAGCCTTTGATTCTCTCTGAGAGGTAATTATCCTTTTCCTGTCACAGAACAACAAATGATAGCTAACTACAGAGGCACATTTGCAGTAGTCACATTCATCAACTGCAGGGGGAAAAAAAATTCAATTTAATTGTGCAACACAGCTGCACACAGGCTTTTTGAGCAGTTGTGTTGTTCTCCCTGTCTTGCTATTCCTTCCTACCAGATCTATTTTTTAAACTTTTTTTCCCCTCCTAGCTTTTTTTTTTCTTTCCCTTCCCCCTCCTCTTTTTTTTTTTTTTTTTTTTTTGTCTCTTCTTCCATTTTTACTCTCTGTACTTTCTTGTTAAAGTAATTTTCCTTTGTGGCTCTCATTCTTTTTCCCCCCCATTGAAGGCTATGAATGTAGAAAATTATCACAATTACTCATATAATTGAGCCTCTTTGTAGCAAGTGCAACTCCAGTAGCCTTTCTCCATCATGAAAATGGTTTCATTATAGGGTTTTTCATATTCTCTGACACCATCTACCCAAAGGAACAGGCGTGCAGATGAGATGTGCTAGGAATAGGGTAGATCAGGAAGGTCACAGTGGGAATAATTAGCTCTGCTATGGAAAGAGCATCTAGGCCTTTTACTGCTACATAAATGTACTGTCCATGGCTTTTAGGCACAAAAAAACTTACTAACAAATGGAGCTCCCGCCTACTACTTTGAAAAAAAGATTTGTATCAACACTACAATTTTCCATCATTAAGACTAATAACACAGAGCCTCGTATACATCAAGGGGAATAAAAAGAAAAATCTCACATTCAAGTGGCGACTGGGTTCTGACCTTTGTTCCCCTTTTTTGTGTACGACTTAACTCTTTACAAAAAAGAGCCACACGCCACACCAATAGGCAGGTGAACTCCAGCCAGTGCTGGCGAAGTGCTGCGTTCAACTTGAAAAATTGGAAAAAGCTCCTTGTTGGATAATGTGTTTCATTAGATTCACTCCATTAATTCTGGCTATATTAAAAGTGAGGCAGAAGGATCACAACTAAAAGTAGCTTTAATCTTTTCCTTCTTTCTTTCCTTCCTTCCTTCCTTCCTTCCTTCCTTCCTTCCTTCCTTCCTTCCTCTCCCCCATTTTTCCTTTACAGTGTTGATGCAGAGATCAGTATTTTCGCAGCACGAAAATATATATGCAAAGCTCTGTTGAAAAGCAAATTAAACCAGATTGATCCATAGTCACAATTGCAGACAGAATAACAAATCACAATCAACTGGCTCCCCCCCTTTCCTCCTTCGATATTTCCTTTTGAATTTATATATGCTACTTTTATTTCAACCTTTCTGCAACTAAAGATTTTTCTGGCCTAAGTTGTCATATATGTCTGAGTATTGATATTTTTAAACTCGCGTAAACAAAACTACAAAGTGGTGGGGAAAATGTGTAAAATTTTCATCATGTTTGTGGTGATACTTATTAAGACTGTATGTCTTCTATCTGCCCTATGTTCAGAATGTTTGTAGATTTTTTTAAAAAGACACCATAGTGCCTCCTACATATTAATATATAGGATCGATGTGAATATGGTCTGAATTCCAGAATGTTCTGTCATTTTATGATTTGATCTTAAAAGCTCATGACTTAATTTGGGCTTAGACTCAATCAAACAAATGAAAATATTTATGAAATTTGTATTACACATTAGCCAATTCTTAGATGAAAAATCAAACGGCTTTTGTTCAAATCCCTTACATTGCTCACCAAAATTCAAATGGAAAGTATTGTGATCATAACCACTAAGGAGTGTTCCTTACATATACCATAGCCTTTTTAATGTGATTATTACAACCACATACCAATTACAGTTTTTAAAATAGAGAATCTGGATCTCTGAAAATGACTTATAGAACCAAACAAATATAAGCATAGTTAAATCAGGGCAGTTTAAACTCTGTTGTTAACATTATTGAGATAAGAGTATCAATAAATGATTTCTAAATGTTTTAAATTATAAATACAATGTTTTGATATTACCTTAGAACAATACAAAGGCAGGTTTTTTTTTAAAAAAAAGAAATCTGTTTCTATCAGATTATGCACATTTAAACAATAAGTGGCTCAGGCAAAATAAGTCATTTTAATGTCATCAGTGATAGATTTTCTTTGACAGCTACTGTAAATTACAATTACACTCCTTCTCCTTTGAAAGTAAGCATTGCAATAAATTATCTTTTATTTCAATCCATCAAGTCTGCCTTTCAGAAATGGAGCACCTCAAATAAAAGTTCAACGGCAGTGTAAGAAAAATATAGTAATTTGTGTTCGTTTGAAACCAAAAATGTACCTTTCTTTACAAAAAAAGTCCACAATTGTGGGTTTTCAAAAATATGGTTAATTATACCTCATCGTTCATTGTCATTAGAGGGAATCCCAGAAATTGTACATTCCATTAGTCTAGGACTGTTATAGAAGGAATACCTTAAAACTCCCCCAACAGACAGTTGGGTAAGCCAGTACAATACCGCTGGCCAAATTAACATAAATTATCCTTTGTTTAAATATCTTTAAAAATTAGATTATATCTGCATTGCTGTTTGTGCTGTTGATTTGTAGAACTAAACCAAGGCAACTACTGAGAATATGTGGTCCTGGGGCCCTTCAAATGCTAAGAGGTAGGTCTTCATATATTGATCTTCTATTTGTACATTGGGGTGTTCCTGTCCTGCCCATCCCCCCTCTGAATGGTCCCAGAACCCTTCAAGGAATCATTTGAGACTATATAAACAAATTCTATTTCTGATGCCACTAGTACAAATTTTGCATTTGATTCCATCATATAAATCATAACCATGATCTGGTCTCCTACTCTCCTGGAGTGGCCTTCATTTTTTTCCTCCTGATATTAAATCACTTAAAAGGATTGTTTTAAATCTGATAGTTACTGTCTTCAGATTTTTTCCCCTAAAGTAGCGCGCTGTTAGCTGAAACAAGCAAATGCTTTGTTCCTCTGAGAAATTCATACAAAATATAAAGAAAAAAAAGGTGTAAACTCATCTTTCAGACCAGAATGTGGATAAAATGGGGAGCTTGATTCCAGCCATGGGAAATAGATGTCTTATGTGTAGAAATATTAGTTCAGTATTATATTTGCATGGGTAAATTGAAGCTGCTTTTTCTTGCACCGTAATAATATGGTGCAAGAAAATATATAGCTCTAATTTAGAATCAGCTCATACAGGAAGAGGACACTGGTTCACATGAGAAAACCTGAACAGCGTCAAGTAGTCAAGATTTTTGAATTGTGGCTTCATTGATGTAGTTGGTTTCATGAACATAATTATATTTTTAATACATTGTAATCACATATGTTCAATTCAAGTATTGTTAACATGATCTTTTTTTCATTAAAAATATACCCATTTATTTACTTTTATTAAAAATATTTGTAGACCGTCCATTATCCAGGGGATCTTGTGACAGGCTAAAATTTGGCATGTGACAGATAATGCACTGTTTAAGCTAGAACAAAGGTTGCAAGATAATTGTACTGCGGATTTGCAATTCCTCTGTGTTTTCATGCATGCCTCTAATTGTTTCTTTACCTGCACTGACAGTCTAATGCTAACAAAGCTTTGGCTTGACCTGTTATTTTTGTATGCGGAAGGCTATTAAAATCTTTCAGAAAAGCAAATCCACTTTGAAGTTGTGTGAGATAGTACTGTTGTATGAGGAAGTTCCAAGATATGCCTTGTAGAATTGCTTCTTTGTCATCAATTAAAAAAAAAAAAATTGCTCAAATCAATTTTCTAAATGCTGGGCTCATCCATATGTCCTGGTTGCCATGACATTAAGACATCCCACTGTTTGCAAAGGTCCTAACTATGGTGCCTCCATCTTCTTGCCAACCTATTGAAGCCAGTCCATGGCATTTGATTTGAAAGTGGTGCTTTCCCTGCTGTTTCAGTGGGAGAACTCTCTAATAACAGGTAGAGGAGGTCAGCTGCCAGCTGGAGTCCATTTGTCCTGTACGCTGACTTCCAGTCTGGTTGAAGGGCTCATAGCCATTTTTTGTGGAATCTGGTATGGGACTATTAATCTCATCTAAGACCAACAGGTCTACCAGGAGCTCAATATTCCCATCAGTAAGCAAAAATGAGAAAGGCAGATCTTTGACCGGCAACATTTTCCTTTGATGGGCAGGTGAGGTGAGGGGCAAGTGGAAAGGAGTGAACAGAGCATCCTGATCATATTCTGGCTAAGATCTGGAAGTAAGTCATGCTAAGGAGGGCTTAAGGAGCCCTCCTTAGAACTAAGGAACTAAGGAGGGCTTAATCTTGATTGTATATTTATATTAAATGAACCTTACGGTGGGATTTATGGAACTCAAAGATTTACTGGAGTCAGAGAAAAATAAAGAGAAAGATACACATCCTAAAATACTCTTCTCTTTCCCCTTCCAATAAACACAAATGGGATGCTCCATTGGTTGCATTCCTTGAAATTTGACTGCTCTGTCCAGATATATCAATTTGGAAGTAAGTCCCACATCTTTCTAAAGCAGGTGTGCAAAGAGGCAGCCAGAATAATTATCTGGAAAGGGTAGTGTACAGTTTTCTAAATAGGAAGGCTAGTTTCAATTGGAAGGAGGGTGTTGTGATAGCGATCTCTGCTCCGTCATATGTTCAGGGGACTGACTCGTTCATTTTCCCATTGGTAAGTATTACCGGGTGGGAGGGGAAAAGATGACAGTTTCCACCAATCACTGCCCTGAAATTACTCCATGTTACAGTGCTATGAAATTACTCCATGTTACAGTTATAGTAGTAGCCTCTTCCCATTTATATCAACCCACCTCATTATATCTGACAGAGAAGGCATGCTGCAGACATCATCTGCCAGGGATTTACATTTGGTAGGTCCTAGGTGGCAAACCTTCTCTGCTGTGGCTCCCACTTTATGGAACATTCTCTCTCCTGAAATTAGATTGGCTTCATCTCTCAAGACCTGGTTATGTCATCAGTCTTGGAGTTTCTGGGGAATTGGAGATATATCTCAATGGCTCTACTGTACAGAAGTGTAAATATTCTATACAGTAGAGCCATTGAAGTGTATATATTCATTCTCTCTGATGGCATTCGTATATTTTCAGTTTTAATTAACTTATATTTTTTAATATTGACTTTTTATACTTTATAAATGCTTATTTTTATGTATATACTGTTTTTTATTTGATTGTTGTATGCTGCCCAGAGCCACTTCTCATGAGACAGGATGCTAAATAAATTTGATAAATGAATGAATGAATGAATGAACATTTGACTGACCCTGTTCAGAGCCTGATTTTGGTTTTCTAAGAGTACAAGCCACCTCTTCCCTTCTGTAACTAGCTTTTTCAGAAAAAGCTGCTTTGTACTTCAACTGCAAAAAATAACAGAGGTAACTGGGAACATCTTAGCCATAAAATACTTCAGATGGACTTCATTTCACTTCAAGCTCAACATCTCTTTCCCCAAAGTGAAGTAATTGTCACTCCCTCATTGTGCTTTCCTATCTCCGTTGAGTTCTGGTGAAAGACAGACTCATGGGGTGGGAAGGGACCTTGGAGGTCTTCTAGTTCAGCCTCCAATACTTGAAAACCAAGAGAGTACTCCATTTTCTGTAGACATACTCTCCCTTGCCTGCAGTAGTGGGTTTCAATTTCATTCGCTACCGTTTTGCTCATGGTCGTGCGCGTGTGATGTTTCTGTGCATGCGCTGCCGCCGCTACCAGTTTGCCCAATCCGGGGCGAACTGGTAGCAACCCACCACTGCTTGCCTGCCATTTGAGCCATCGATACTACGGTAGCATTTTGAAAAAGAAAGAAAAAAACCCCAAACTTTTTCTCTATACAGTTTTTTATAAAGAGTATTCACACTACCAGGTTGTTGTTTTTTTCCTTCGATCTTAAGTGAGGTGGGAAATGCCTCCATAGAGCCCTCTACAAGCGTAGAGCCCATGGGCGTCTTCCCTTTTATTTTCGGGCAACTTGCACTGGGCTGAGGCTCTAAACAAGGGAAGTAGGTCAGCATCTAATCTATAGAGATGCCTTTTATGCCATGCAAGTGTCATAAGCACTCTCCTTTTGCAGTGTGACAAGATCTTATGTGCTCTGAGTTGCACAAAAGGTAACAATAAGACCTGGGTTTTGATGGCACATTTACTAAATATCAATTTGTTATTATTACAAACAATAGATTCTTGCAGCATACTGAGCCATAATGTCTCTCCCCCACCTTTATTGTGTTTTAGTCTGTTCTGCAATCATACCCATTGTGGTTGCAAACCCAACTTATCATGACCTCATCCAAAAACCAACCTAAATATTACTTTGAAAGTAGCTGAAGAAGAACCGGACAGCCCGAAGTATGCTGATTTTGATATTGGTCATTAATGAATAATAACCTTTCCACAGGCCTCTCTTTGTTTTTATATTCGGTTTTGCCATTGTAAAAATAAAACCTTAGGTGGGAGGGGCAGCAAAAAAATATTGACTAAGCTACCAGAGTAGGACAAACAAATATATTAAGGAAAAATTAAATCATGTGTAATGTAGGGAAATTATTATTCTTATAGTTGCATATCCAGATAATAATTTCCATTTATTATTTATTGATCATTGTTACTTATTATTATTTAAACTTGCAGGCCATCTGACTCTCAAGGACTCTAGGCAACTCAAAGCCATAAATGAAATTAAAATAAAATCAGTAAAAAAAAAAAAAAAAGATAAAAGATAGTCTTAACAGTTCTGAAATCCGACTCTGTGTGGAGTCAGTGCTTAATAAGTGTTGAAGACAAATAAATGCAATGCTGCTCCTGTACAATTTTTGTCTACATGCATCACATTTTTTTTCTGTGTTGATAATGTTAAACAGCCTTTGTCTTCAATACTGTTGTCATGCCAATAAAATGTAGCAACAGAAAGCTACATCTCTTGATCAACTTGAGCCAGTTCAGTTGAAATGTTTGTTACTTTACACCTTATTGACCCAACTAAGAAAATAGAAATGATTTGTTTAAATCCGAATGTTCTAAATTCACTGATTTGGCATAAGTGTGAATAAAGTGCTGGAACTGAATTGGTTGCGAACCACCATAATAGAAAACTTCGCTATCGTCTTTCAAGCTGATAAAGATGATGATCCTAGTTCCAGTTGCTGGCATTTTGGACCGTGAAACATTTTTGTAAAATAGTAAGCCAAATAAGAGGAATTTGTCCTCTTCAATCAGGTGTAATTTGCAGTACAGTAAAACAGCATGAGACTTCGCTTAGGCAGATACCCATCTATTGTTAGAATAGATGCTCAATAAGACACATCGTGCAGAAGTACACTACACTGCAGCTCTGATTATTTATACATTAGCCCCTGCTTGCTGCTGATCCACAAAAAAGAAGAAGGGGGAGCCTGGCTTGCAATAGACTTTATCTCCCATCCGGATGGTGCCCTGGAAGGCCTTAAAGTCTGGCTGTTCTCCTGGGCCTTGAAGTTGAACGGGTAGAAGCCCTGGTTTAGCTGTGCTTGACATCATGCTGCCTATGTTTAGGGACTTCTCTTGAATTCTTTTGTCTTCCTTTTCTTTACTGTATTTTTTTTTTAACCTGCTTGTATTTTTATCTTGTCTTCTTTTTATTGGGAGCCACCCAGAGTCATTTTTAAATCAGGCAGCGCCGAAATCAAATCAAGTAAATAAATACTGCTCTTTGCGTTCATTTCCCTCCCTCCTGCCCTGACCTGTTAATCTCTCGATATTTTGGACTACAAGTCCCATAGCTGTCAATGCAACACTACCGTGGAAAGTGGGAGAAACTGATATCATAAATGGAAGGTCCTTTAACGCTGAATGTGTGGTACTGATTGCCTAAGAATCTTGTTCCTATTGCCCCGGAGTCAAAAGGCTTCTCTGACAATTTTTTTTTTCGGTAGAAAATATTGAGAACAAGGAAAGGAACATTGTCATCAAATATCTACAAAAGGACAGCCACAAATCGAGTGATCTTAAAGACATGGACATTTTTTAAAAATGTATGGAAGCTTTTTTGATATTTTCATTATTCATAAACTCAATTTCCTCTCTCAGTCGCACACAGGCACATACATCAGAATTGATCACCATCACAATGTAGCCCCCATAAAGGAGGTCTTCTCTGCTGTAGTGGTGTAGCTTTTTGTGCTCCCAATATGCACAGGCATTTGCTTTTAGGTATTAGCCTGTGCAAAGCATTCAGAGAGATGCATCACAAAAAGGTCTGAGTACGAGCAAAGGCTCAGCGTAGTTGTTTCAGGAGCATTCCCAGGAAGGAAGACAGCTGTGTGCTGGGGCAGTGGCATGTGAAGATGGGTTGGGGGAGCCCACAAAAAACACAGCTGAGCTTTCTGGAGCTGGCAGTTGCCCCAGTGCTTCTTACTCTAAATAAATGGTTTTTGAAAGTGCTCCCTTGAATCATTTGCAGGAAAGAGAAACATAGCAGGAAAGTCAACAAAAGTCAGTCCAGAGGACTTGTTTTCAGTGAAACAAAGATAGGGAGGCTTCAGTTTTATAGCCAACAAATGCTGTGCACGCATGTTGTCTGTCACAGATTTATTTGTTCAGTTTCTATAGCTGCCCATGCCCATCTCAAGCAAGTGACTCTGTGTGACGAACCATCATAAAATAATTAAAAACAGCTACAAAATAATACAAAATTAACTTCAGGTATTCCTTGATTTACAACCATTTGTCTAGTGACCATTCGATGTTACAACAGCACTGAAAAAAAGCGACTTAGGACTGTTTTTCACATGACCCGTTGCAGCATCCCCATGGCCATGTGATCAAAATTTGAATGCTTGGCATGTATTTAGGATGGTTGCAGTGTCCTGGGGTCACGTGATCATCTTTTGTGACCTGACAAGCAAAGTCAATGGGGAAGCCAGATTCACTTAACAACTGTGTTACTAACAACAACTGCAGTGATTCACTAAGAAAAATTGTAAAATGGGGCAAAACTCAGTTAACAACTGTCTTGCTTACCTACAGAAATTTTGGGCTCAATTATGTTCGTAAGATAAGGACTACCTGTGTATATGGCAGCCGGGAAAAAAAATAATCACAGATATCAATACAGCTAGGAAATGGGGTCCTTCACACATACAGGGCTCCAATCCAGGCACAAATCCAGATCTTTTAAGACCTTACGAAAGGCCATTCTCAATCCATAAGAGAGAATGTTTCAGAGCGCAAGGGCTACCTTAGAGAAGGCACATTTTCTATTCCTCACCAGTCAACTTTCCATGTTAGGAATGCTTCGTTAATATTATTCCAAATTAAAGAATCATGTTTTTCTCCAATACATTTAAATGTTCTGTGCTTAATTTGACAAATTTTTCATATTTCTACAATTGGCTTTCACCTCTTTGGTAAGACATCAGCTAGAGGATTTTAGTCAAATAATTGTTGGAGAAATTTAAATTGATATTTACATTTTTTTCCCCTGCAAAATTCAGTCTTACTCAAAACTGAGGAACTAAGAACTCTGTTTCCTTGGCTTCTAGATTCAATCTCGCTACAACAGCCTTTGCAATTTCATTCTGCTGTATAATTTGCATGACGTTTGGAATATTACTTTGCCTCCTTTCTTTTGGGGTCTTCTTTCACCTGTTATTTCCTCAGCTTCCTGATTTTCAGTTCCTTTTCTACATTTTCGGACTATCTAAATCTACAGATACAGTTCCCTCTCATACCACTCACGTCTTCTCCTTTCCAGGTTCTTGCCCCAAGTTCCATGTCTCCTACTTTCTTGGATCTCTTCCTTCTTTTTCGATGGCCGTGCAAAGCTATTCCTTTCCATAAGAGATTTTTTCTAGTCAGAGAATTATCCTTTATTTTCTTTAGTGTAATAAAATTGTACATATGGACAGCTCTGGTTTGATGAGCTTAGTTGTAAAGGCTGTTCCATTCATCACAACCATTGAATTAACCAATTTTAAAAGCCAGAAATACAATACAAAGCAGATTTATATATATCAAACTATATTGGATCAGATCTTTAGACCCAATATAGGAGTTTAAATTGCTCTTGGTGAAGTGTGCTTACTTTTCGCCTCAAGTCAATCTTGCACAATAGCACATCCAGTGGCGACACTAAATGGCTACAGAATTCCCACTGATCGAAAATGGGCACTAGATTTCTGACAGATATTAGAAACTGCATCCAAATGAATGGAATTGCTTGGAGTGTAGTGGTGGTTATATATATAAACCACATAAATAATTCATACTGAAGTTTACATATCCCTTGTTATATCTGTCAACTAGGAATGTGCAAATCATGCAAGGCCTTATTTGAACTAGTTTGGTGTCAATTAATTAGAAGGGATGATTCAGTCAAAGCTTTGAATGGAGGCTTTGCATAACCATAATATCTCTCTCTCTCTCAGCCACTGATTTATTGCAGAGATGGGAGAACTTCAGGTCCCAGGATCTGTGTGTTTTAATTTCAACTCCAAAACTAATGGCAGCTTAGTATAAAGCTATGCAGTTAGGATTAAACAATTTGGAAGTCAAAACTTATTTAAGTATCCTATCTAAGAATTTAAAAAAAAACTTTAAAAAAAGCACTTTAATGTTGCAAGATAATAGGCATGAATAAACCCAAATAAAAAATTAATCCAATTATTTTGGCACTAGCAAACTTGGAGAAAAGTATAGAAATGTAAAAAGGCTGTTGCTCCATTGTTGAAGAAACAGACTTATTATTTTCTCTTTAGCGTGTTCATTTTTATGAATAAGTGTGGACATTGTTAACTTTCTGGCTTCTTTTCATTATCATTTTTCTTGGGGACTCCAATTAAACCTTTCAAATCCCATCAAGACAGATTTTCTACCCCATCTTTTAACTTCCATGTTCCTGTTTCTTTGTGTCATTACTTAACTCCCTGTGACTATTTAGGTGATCCATAAAGACATTTCAGCTATCATGCATTTGAGATCTATACTCTGCTGTGCCCCAGAATCACGCAAAATACTGTAATAGCTAAAGATTTTTGTTGGTGTGTTGGTAGGCAAGCAGTAGCTAATCTATAGAACCTGTTCAGAAAAATCCGTTCAAGGTGTTATCTGTGAACATAATGAAAAGCTATTGACCTACTTCTCCACTTTGCAGTAGTTGGGAGTCTTCTGTATCCTGGGAGCACTTGATTGTGGCCGTGCGCTCGTGAGCATTGGGGCAAAGGGTATGGCCTCATGTGATGTGTAAAATAAATGGGAGAAAAGAAACCAATTCCTCGCCTTTACAGACACACAGGCTGGCGTCTTTGAAAAAGAACCAACCAGAATATTCGGGGAGGGGGGGTTAATATACAGCAAGTTTTCAACAATACCTCCAAATTGTAATTTTGTAGAGCTGACAATATCTCATGCCAACTGAACTCCGTCAACAGACATAATTCTACATATAGACGGCAGCATTTTAAGACTGCTGTTTTTTGTGCATGTCATTTCTTCGTAAAAAAAAAAAAAAAGTACTGGACTCAACTCATGAGTGCCAGTGGTCACAGCCATCTCTATCACGTTCCTGGGGCAATGTACAGTATATACAAATAGAGTATTATTTAATGAAAGAACTGGAGCAATAAGACCATGTCTTCAACTTTCTTTCCTTTTACATGACTGACTTTCAGTTGCTATGGCATTATTAAGAGATATTTGCCTTGAACATTCCATAAAATATTCTATAAAACAGATTGCAGTCTTCAAATGTGAGGAAATTGGGAATTTGGGATGTGAAAGTATATGTAGCACCAATTTTTCCCCACAATGCATCTATAATGGACCTAAAATGAGGCCACCAAGCAATAACAAATGTGTTATTGTATATGCAGTCATATGCAATCCCAGAGAACTGAAAGAGGTCCTCTCTTTCTTTTTTAACAAAGAGAAGCCCAAAGAGGATTAAACCCAGTTAGCAACATTAGGAGCCACCATATGCTGAGAGAATTGGAAAATATAAAGACAATGGGAATTGTGGAATCCAGGGGCTCCATGGTTCAATCCTGAGCTATGTATGTTCTCTTATATTGGAACAGTAGGAATTGAATTAGCTTGAACCCTTAACAGTTTATTAACCCAGAGGAAGACACATTATGTTAATGATGATGAAGTTATACTGCAATGGTACAGTAGTGGCCAAAATTGTGGAAACCTTTTGGGGAAAGTGTATTTTTGAGGTTTGATGGCTAATAACACCCCTTTTTTTTGGAGTAGTACTATAAAATTATATAGCAATGGAAAGATAATTTAATTTATGGAAAGATAATTTAATCAAGAATGTAATGCTTTTCAACTTTTTTCATGGATTCTAGATTTTAGGCCAAATTCCTGCAGTCTGCGCCAAACACTTCACACTGGATTGCGCCATTGCATCTTATATACACCCAGATCAGTGGTGGGTTGCTCCTGGTTCGCACCGGTTCGCAAGAACCGTAGTAAAAAATTTTAATAGTTCGGAGAACTGGTAATAACATTGGCTGGCCACGCCTCCGAACCGGTCCCCGGCCCGGTCACCACTCGCTTACCCCACCCACCTCATCAGAGGCTTTTTTTTTTTTTTTTTTTACTTTTAAAAGCATTTTTTCTACAACCTCTTCGGCTGAAAAAATGTTTTAAAAGTTAAAAAAAAGCCTCTGATGATTGTGCGGCTCAGCTGGGATCTCAGAAGCTTCTAAAAACATTTTTTTCTGCAACCTCTTCAGCCGAAGAGGTTGTAGGGAAAAAAAATGCCTTCAAAAGCCTCTGGCGATCCCAGCTGACTTGCCTGATCATCAGAGGCTTCTAAAAGCATTTTTTTCTGCAACCTCTTTAAGTTGTAGAAAAAATGCTTTTAAAAGTTAAAAAAAAAAAAGTTGGCCACGCCCACCCAGTCACATTACACCCACAAGCCACACCCACAGAACCAGTAATAAAAACTTTTAGAACCCACCCCGACCCAGATTATTTTCTTCTGTCACGTAGGCACAGTCTCTTAATTCTTCTATCACCACTTGCTGTTGTGCACCTTTTCCTGCCTTTACCAGTGTGGTTTTGTAGCGATTGAGTCTCCTTATACCTCTTCAAAAACTTAAAAATGCCATCTTGGTTAAGTTTCCACCAATTTTTCTTCTATTTTCTTTGTAACTGTAGCCTTGTTCACTTAACAATACTATTTTACATCACTTTCTGGGCGACCAGTCAACTCTTTGCACCATTACTTTAATTTTATTACGTTTTACAAGGTCACTAAATGAAACACAAGAACACAAAAAACCCCAACCAATTTGATAGCGATCACGTAGCACACTGACAAATGTCCTCATCTCACCTTCAGTACATGACATCAATAACTGAATCCTACTGTGATTTGATTGGCTCATTGCCAAAACAAGATGACATCTGGATTGGCTCTCTAAACACTCATGCTCATTGGCTACAATCAGATGAAGGAAAGCTACTTGATATCAACCTAAGCAAGTTGTGCTTCCTTTTTCTGGTTATTTGGCTATAACATTTCATAGAATACAGATAATTGAACAAACTTTGTTGCATTACATTCTTGATTAAATTATCTTTCCATTGATATGTAATTTTATGGTACTACTAAAAAAAAGTGGTGTTATTAGCCATCAAACCTCAAAAATACACTTTTCCCAAAAGGTTTCCACAATTTTGGCCACTACTATAGGCAGCAGAGTGCCATCCAATTGTTTTCAACTATTCCTCCTACTGTTCTTTGCTATTAATACCAGGCTAGCTGTATTTGATCAACATTTGGAGTTCCTTACCCCAATGTGCTGCAACGTTTATTTGCATTCTAATCTCAAATTGCTAAACTATGGTGTTTTCACTTCCAAGATTCACACTCATAATTGGCAAGCTTTGCCCTAATTCCTATTATGCTTTCGACATAATATATTGGACAAAAAGTTCACCCTTATTTAACTAATGTAAAAGATCATTCTGGAACCCCATGCCTAATTCTTATGTAAAGTTCATTATATTTAAAGCTGTGGGGGTGTGATGGCTCAGCAGTTAAAGAGCTTGTCTGCAGAAAAGCTGACAGCCTGGGTTTAAGACCCAAGCACCACACAATGGGGTGAGCTCCCTTTACTTGTCCAAACTCCTGCCAAACTAGCAGTTTGAAAGCATGCAAATGCAAGTAGATAAATAGGTACCACTTCGGTGGGAAGGTAACAGCATTTTGTGCACCTTAGCATATAATCATGGACAATGGACAACACTGGCTCCCTCAGCTAAGAAACAGAGATGAACACCAGCTCCTAGAGTCAAACAGAATTGGACAGGGAAAACTTTTACTTTTACTTTTTATATTTAAAGTCACAAGCACACAAAGCCATTAACCAATCCCTAACCTTTGCAAACATATGCTAATGTGGGTAAGTGCTGCTTTTTAAAATATTTTATTTTAAAACTCCATAGGCAGGGTTGGCCACAATATTGGTCAGGCCTTAGGTTCCAATGTAATCCAGTGGAGACAGCAACATAGTTTTTATTTAAGTGCATGAAACAGCATTTGAGAAAAGAAGTTGCCTGTCATCTCTATTGTACTTCCTACTTATGCTCTGGGAATGCCTTTAAAGGAAAATGGTAATCTTCAGGTTTCTGAGTTTCTTTTGAATGAAAAGCAACAGTTACCCAGCTCTTCTGATTCTGCAAATTCTGGAGATAAAGCCAACTCCAATCAACTAAAGGGAACCATAGCTGTGATTCGGTTTAAGACCAGAGATGAGCTTATCGATTTGGGGTTTTCTCGTTGGGCTTTTCTCACTTTTGTAAATAGATTGCTTGCTTCATCAAACATACGAACTTTTTTTAAAAAAGAAATCAGAATTGAACATGTATATGTGTTTTGAAAATCATTTCTCCAAATGTGCATTTTTCTTTCCTGCAATGCAATGTATCTTGCCTATTTTGCTTATTTTTGTTTATTTGTATCCCACCTTTATTATTTTTACCAATAACTCAAAGCAGTGAACACATCCAATACATTTCCCTCCTTTTGTTTTCTGCACAACAACAATCCTGTGTGGTAGGTTGGGCTGAGAGAGAATCTCCATTCCCACCCCACTCTGGGGCCAGCCAGAGGTGGTATTTGCCGGTTCTCCAAACTACTCAAAATTTCTGCTACCTGTTCTCTAGAACCTGCTGAATTTCACTCCTGTTACTGCCTGAACCACTTGAACAAACTGACTTTAATATATGCATTTTGTGTAATATTTTCCCTAATATATTTTTAATTATTGAGGTGTATTGTAAATTCAAAGGACTGCATATTTTGAACTATGGCAAAAATGTTGGTTCAAATAATGCTTTGAAACTGTGAAAGTAGGTAAGTTCATAGTCAAATACAATCTAAAATTCTCTCCTATCTCTATTTAAATAAGAATTGAAAGCACTATGGCTGCAAAATCTTCCTTTTATAAATGCTTGTATGCCTAAAATACACAATTTTGGATACAGATTCTCAGTTTTACAAATAATGAAAGTATTGATCTAATGCTCTGTGGATTTGAAGTAATTAACTTTGTAATCCTCTGTCAGTTCCTGGACAAATGTAATTGTTTTTTTTTTTTTAAGTTCCTGATTTTTAGAGCCAGGATAACCCTCCAAAGGACAGGATTATCTTTGCAAGGTTTTTACCACAAGTTAGTACTTTCCTAGGTGTTGATGGAGATCTCCATTAATAACATTCTCCATCTCCTTTTCCCTTTTTATTACAGACTGAACAGCAGGGTATTCTGCCATTTTAGAAATGAAATGAAGTCTTGAGTTTTAGGAATATACGAGAATGTGCTTTTCTGTCAGATAGTGGTAGTGTCAGGATCCTCAGCTGTGTTCTTTTGTGAAAATGTGGTAATGATATATTTAACGAAATGCATTCTTCTGAATTTGGAAAACGTTTGTTATATTAAACATTTCTGTGTTTTTTTTAAAGCAACATTGCCCATCAAAATGGTTTTCAAGTCTGTCCTTACATTGGTGGTCATGGGATAGGAACGAATTTACATAGTAATCCTGAAGTTTGGCACCATGGTAAGAGGGTCCCTCCTTAATTTTTCCATACCTTACATTATATTTGCATCCAACTGGAAAATTTTGAATACCTTACATTATATTTGCATCCAACTGCAAAAGGGTTGTGTTCCTGCCAGTATATAAACATTTTGTCATTTCTTAGAAATAATTGTCCCTTTCCTTACTCAATGGAAGTTAATGGACTTTAAGGGAAAATTCAAAAGAACAAATCAGATACATGATCAAACAGAATTGTGGGAGACATTTTTCTTTCCACGCTAATTCAAAATGCTTACTATTGGTGATAAGCCTCTAGGGCTGGAGTGTCAAACTCGCGGCCCTCAGGCCAGATGCATCACACCCTAGCCATGTCCACGCTTGGTTTAGCGTAAGGAGGGAAAGTTGTGATACATTACAACGTGACGCTGGGAGTTTGACACCCCTGCTCTAGGATCTTCCGGTTTCCCACAAACCCAGGCTTGCTTGACAAATACAAAGAAGGTTTTGTAGTTGCCACTCATCATGATAAATCATAGTTTGTTGAACCAGTCATAGTGATCAGGTTTTTGACAGACATTAACCTTACAACAAGATTTCTACTGTAATTGCAATGCTTATAACTAAGGTTTGTACATTGCATTAAGCCAAACTAAATCATGTATGACTTCATGCAACCTTTTGCAAACTAGTGCCTTCCAAGTGTCTTGGAATTGCCCATCTCCAGGAGACAGGTTGGAAAAAGATAGCTTTCTACAATATATGGCCTCATTGGTATCTACAGCAATTGATGTTAATGTAAGAAAGGGTACACTACGGCTCTCCTCTGAGACATGACTTCTGTGCAAAGAGCAGTATGGGAAATCAGAAAGCAGAATCAGAAATTCTAGTTTCCATTTGATACTGAATGCCATACATTTCTTTTGTCATCTGTCTTCAGATTTTTGCAGATTACTTTTCCACATATTGATAAAAGACAGCTCTTGCCGATAATCCCTCACTTTTTCCTACATTGGGGATTGGAACAGAAGCAGCATTTGGGCCTAAATCTGAAATTACTAACTAAAAACCGGAGGGGAGGGCGTAGAGGGAGAATATTAGCATCTTTTCACTTCTACTTGGAAGTAACTTGTGTTATTTATTTTCAAGTAATGATACTGAGGAATCCAAGTGTGAAGATAATAGGTGGACTTCACTCTTTGTGTAAAATAGTCATTCGCCTAGATCTCCTTTAGTTTCTTTGACTCCCCAAGCATATAGGGTATTTAGATTTTAATTTAAAATCTGAATGCATTTCTTTCCTCTGATAATTTTTCATTCCGACTACTAGATGAATACTTAGGTTATTACCCTCTCCCCCAAAGTAGTTTCAGAATCAAGTGCAAGCCTCAAATTGGCCAGCCCTGTCTTCTGAATTCTGACAAATCGGCCAGTCTTGTCTTCCGAATTCAGAATACTCTAAGGACAGAAGAGAATCTTTGCAGGGCCAAGATGGACTTAGCTAGGGGATTGGTCCTGTTTGA